GGCTCGAGCGAGCGCGGCTTGAGGAGGAGGCGAGGCCCGCGGAGCCCCGCAGCCCGCCCGCCGGAGCAGCATGAGGCTGGCGGAGCGGCTGCGCAAGGACTGGTTCCTGGTGGGCATCGTGGTGGCCATCGCCGGCGCCAAGCTGCGGCCGTCGGTGGGCGTGAACGGGGGTGAGTGCGGGCGCGGGGCGGCGCGGGATTAGCTGGGACGAGCCGGGGTTCGAGTCCCGGCCCCTTCCCTGCAGCTGTCCGCCGCTGCTCTCCGCGCCCAGCCGTTAACCGAGACCGGAGCTCAGTCCCCGGCTCCCAGAGCAGCCGCCTCTTCCCAGGGGACTCCAGGTGCCAACCAGGAGTCAGTCCTGGAGCGCAGTCCCCCGGCTGTCAGCAGCATGCAGGCGCAGGACCCTGACTGTCTGGGAAAGCCTGCCGGTGCCCCGGTGGGGACCTCATTGTCTCAGGGTGTCTCCAACTCCTCCCGCCCTCCGTGGTAAAGAATCCATAAAAGACCAGAAAGGTCTAGGTGGGGGAAAAAAATCAGGAAGAGGGGCCCCTCCCTGTGCCCACCTGGGTCTGGGGGGGCCGGGGTGGGGAGTTGGAGGTCAGCGTCTGCAGGCACCGCCCCCTCCATGCAGGAGTGACACGTTGCACTCCTCCATGCAGGACAGCGCTGCCGCCGGCTGGCAGCTGTGTGGGTGTGGGTGTGGGTGTGTGTGCGCACAGAGGTGTAGCTAGCAGTTGCTGGACGATGGGAGCTTTGTGACACCCCCCTCACACCCATGGGGCCCTGCATGTACCATTAACCCTTTGCACCTCCCCCCCCAACTTTAGGCAGCCTGGTCTTGCTTCTCTGAAGCAAGGGTGGAATTTCTGCCCCCCTCTCTCTCTTGGGCCTTGCTGGTAAAGTTTACACCTTGGGGGACTTAACAACTCGGTGGTTCAGGGCAGGCAGAAGAGAATCTACACCACACACAGCCCGTCATCATCTTTGGGCAGAGTCTCTCCTACCTGTAAGGCAAGCACCCCACTTGCTGAGCCAGCTCCTTTTTGTGTGCATCTTGTCCAAAGAAAGAAGAGTCTCCCATAACTTTGCCACGACTGACTTCCCATCAGTGATCTTCTGGCCCTGGCTCCTGACACACCATATTTTTGTAGAGCTGGATGTCTGAATGTTGTGTCTTTTTGCTGACTTGGTGCTGGAAATGAATGAAAAGAGCTCCAGGGGGAGTCAGTGGCTCCTCCTTCCCTGTTCTTTCACTAAGAAGTAGCTTCTGGAAACGTTTTAAGTTTAGTTATTTTAACAAAGATCTAGGCCTTGAAAGCATTTTGTTGGTTTCAAAATGTTTTCCTTTTCTTCTATATCCAGTGTAGTACACAGTGTTAGACTAGATACCTTCTCGATGACACAGAAATCACAAGTTCGTTTGGTTTTTGACACAGCTCTCTCTGGGAGCTTTTGGGAAAGTCGTGAAAAATCGGTCATTTCAGGTTCTGTCAAATAAAGAACACCCTGTCCCCAGAATTGAGTACTCAGTAAACATGAAAGCTGAGAGTGTTAATCCCGGCTACACGGGTGGCCATAGGTGTGATCAAGGTGTGAGGCCCACGTAGGCAAGAGCTGGAGGCCCTGTCAGCAAAGTAACTAAAGGAACTGGATTGCCCGTGGTGTGGTTTGGCAGTGCTGCTGAGTGGTGAAATCACTTCCTGGGACTTCCTCCGAGGAGCTACTTTGACACCTATTCTGTCATCTTGTTTGTTCTCTTGGATTATGCTTGCTGAGGTTTTGTCATATTATTGTGTCTTAGAAATCTTGCTTCCTGTTTCCACTGGCTCTGATGGTATTAATATAGGATAGCTCGAAGTGCTTTTGCTAATTCAGAAAGAATAGAAGTAGCATGCTAAGAGCTGAAGGGAACTTACCAAGTATTTGAAGTCAGCATCTCTCCCTCCCTGCCTGCCTTTCTTTGCTGGGATGCTGGGGATTGAAACCAGAGCCTCACACATGCTGAGCACAAGCTCTGCCATCCAGTTACATTCCCTGAACACAGCATGCTTTTTATATAGGACACTGAAGTCCAAGACCTTGTGTGACTGCAAGGCAATTTTCCTCTTGTGAGAATACAGTGATTGGGGCCAGGGTTTCAGCACAGTGGTGGAGTTCTTGCTAAGCATGCACAAGGACCTGGGGTCAATTCCCCCCCCCCCCCAGTACCATAAACCAAGCAATTAACTGATCAACCAGCCAGCCAAACAACCAGTTACTGAGTTAGTAACTAGTATATAATCCAATAAGATCTTAACTTGTTATATCAAGCAATGATCCTATTTCCAAAATAAAGCCACATTTACGATTATCTGGTGAGTGTAAATTCTGGGAGAACATTACTCAATCCAGTTCAAGAGGGTTGGGTAGAATGTCAAGTATGAGATGACCTCATATTTAAAATGTTAGTATATATTAGTGTTTCTCACCCTGGGCACTTGAACATTTTGGATGTGATAATGTGTGGGAGCAGCTGTTGTGTCCTCCAGAGTAATTAGCACAATTCCTGGTCTTTGCACACTAGATGCAGGAGCAAACCTTTCTCACCAGCTTATGACAAAAAAGAGTTTCCAACCTTTGCTAGATACATAGTGGAAACACGGCACAATAGCTACCTCTGCTACTGACCGGCTGCTTGTACTGGTTAAAAAACAGCAACAACAAAAAAACCAAAGGCCACTCCGAATTTCATGTTTTAAATGCACAGTGATTCTTTGGTTAGCACATTCCGTTTTCTAGTTGATTGTGTACAAGTCGCAAATAATGCTTTTTCAGGGTGTTTTTCTCTGTTGTCCTCACAAAAATGTATGCGCTGATGTCAGCCCAGGGCCAGGCCTGTCTGGTTTACCCCAGGGTCCCCAGAGTTCACTATAGTCACAGTAGTATATTTTCAGGTATTCTATGTGAAGCATCTCATCCACATAGTAAATACTTAGAACATAGTACTTTTTGGAAGAACTGAATACATAGGTGAATTTCTCTCTCTCTCTTTCTTTCTTCCTGAACTCTGGGCCTGGATGCTGTCCCTCAGCTCTTCAGCTCAAGTCTAGTGCTCTACCACTTGAGCCACAGCACCACTTCCGGCTTTTTCTCCTTATGGGGTGCTGAGGAATGGAACCCAGGGCCTCATGCATGCAAGGCAAGCACTCTATCACTGAGCCACCTTACCAGTCCTCTTTCTGTCTGTCCGTCTGTCTATCTGTCTATCTTTTTGTTCTAGAAGAAATAAGATACCATTTGTCAAATCAGAGAAGGCCACTTCATTCACTACCTGGAGATGTTTTGATGGAGAAGTCACTTAGTTAGATGTGCTTAGGACCTGGGTTGGATACTGTTGCTTACTTGAGCTCTTTTATTCTTCTGGACAGTTCTGCTCTTTACCCTTGAAAATCAAGGACTTTCACTTTCAAGTTAGGCTGCATCACAGCAAATGATGAACTCTGGCTATAGGACACTCTGTTAATAATGTAGACACTGTTAATATTTTTTTCTTTAACTCTTTTTTTTTTAATTGTGAAAATACCGTACAGAGGGGTTACAATTACATGGGCAAGGTAATGAGTACATTCTTATCAAGCATTGTTTATAACATCTACTCTCCTCCAATACAGTCCTCTTGCATACCAAGTTATTTACTGCAAACTCCTTACAAACAATAACTCCTTTTTTTCTTCCTCTTTTTAGGGCCACTGAAGCCAGAAATAACCGTATCCTACATTGCTGTTGCCACAATATTCTTTAACAGTGGACTGTCATTAAAAACAGAGGTACTGTCACTTATGGGGCACATGAAAAACAGTGAAGAAAATTTAATTTATACTGAGAGTCTTGAAATTTCAGCATCATTTTGTAAACCATTTATCCCTATATAGGGATATAGTATGACAGAAGATAATTTGGGCTTTAACAAAGGACTTGTATTTTGTTTCAGCATACAGAAAGTCTATAGTTGAATAGCATGAGTACTGAGAATGGGGTAGAATGCTCTTTTTTGAGTCCTGAGAATGGGGTAGAATGCTTTTTTTTTTAAATCATTTTTATGAAGCAAGTTATATATAAATGTTATCCTAATGAAGAGATAATATCAACTATCAATGAAACAGAAAACAAGAGTATAAAAGATAATATATCTTACCTATTAACTTGGAAAAAGTTAAGCTATCCAGTAGTACTAAGAATTAAGAAGGTGTAGTTTTTTTTAATTTTTTTTTTTATTGTAAAGATACTATACAGAGGGTTACAGTTACATGAGTGAGGTAATGAGTACACTTCCTCTTGAACATTGTTACCCCCTCCATTGTTTTCCCCCTACCATCCCCTCCCTCCCTCCCTTCCCCGAGGTTCTTTTTTTTTTTTATTGTGATTAAGTGATTACATACTTTCCGGAATTTCACAGTATTGTGGAATAATGATGCTCATTTAAAGTCACAAGTTCATTCTAACTTTCCTGGAGCAAATTGTCTATCACAGTCTGTAACATATAACGGTGTTCACATGTTATACACCATATATGTGATCAGCAGCGTGGGGATATTTAGTAGTAGTTCAACCAGATGAGCAGGAGTTCTTTGTTTCTTAAGTCCTGTTAGTTTTGTCATATCACCTAACATTTTGGATTTAGCATCCACTTATCAGGGAGACCATGTACTGTTTGTCTCTTCGTTGTTGGCTTACCTCGCTCAACATGATTCCTTCTAGCTCCATCCATTTAGAAGGTGTAGTTTTTTAAAAATTAGTTTTGAAGCAGGGCACTGGTACCTAATGTCTGTAATCCTAGCTATTCAAGAAGCTAAGAACTGAGGATTGTGGTTCAAAGCCAGCCTGGATGGGAAGGTCTATGAAATTCTTCTCTTCAATTAACTACACAAAGCTGGAAGTGGTGCTGTGCCTCAAGTGGTAGAGCACTAGCTAGTGTTGAGTACAAAAGCTCAGAGACAGCACTCAGGCTCAGAGTTCAAGCTCCAGTATCAGCACCAAAAAACTTAGTTATGACTGAAATATTAATGCATAAAAGTTATGAGTGACTTAAGAGTGACTGTTTTTAATATGGTAGCTTCCTCAAATTGTAAAAAGGAAGGTGATATCTACACTTGGATACACTTGAGGTTTAATTGGATTTCCATTTTTTGTTTTTTGGTAGTCCTAGGGCTTGAACTCAGGGCCTGGGCACTGTCCCCGAACTTCTTTTGCTCTCGGCTAGCACTCTACAGCCACAGTGCCACTTCTAGCCTTTTCTGTTTATGTGGTACTGAGGACTCAAACCCAGGGCTTCATGCATGCTAGGCAAGTACTCTACCACTAAGCCACCTTCCCACCTCTCCCTCTAGCTTCTTTCATGAATCATCTTTTGTTCCCATGACTCATGCTGCTCAAGTAATGTTTGTGATTTCAACTTTTAAGTAATTGTTATTTCAAAGCATATTCATGCCTCGTGTATTGGTAGTTTTAAGATAAAAATTGGTGTCTTTCCTCCAAAATCACCATCTGTCACACTCATAGGTAAGGTTATGTACTGATGCAGTTTTGTCTGAAAAGACGATTTTCTTTATAAAAGTAAAGAAATAGAGATATTTTTGTATTTTAAAGAGGAATGAATAGAATTTGTGATTGTTTCATCATATAAAGTAATTTAACAGATATGGATACAATTGTACTGTAAGCATTTTTTTAAATGGCTTTTGAAGTTAAAATCAGGGTTTAGCCTCATGTTTTGCCTATGTTTATTTTTTATTTTTAAATTTTTATTTATTTATTTATTTATTTTGGGTCCGGTCGTGGGGCCTCAACTCTGGGCTTGGGCGCTGTCCCTCAGCTCTTCAGCTCAACGCTAGTGCTCTACCACTTGAGCCACAGCACCACTTCCGGTTTTTTTCTTTTTGCTTATGTGGTGCTGAGGAATCAAACCCAGAGCCTCATGCATGCAAGGCAAGTGCTCTACCACTGAGCCACCTTCCCAGCCCCTATTTTTTTTTTAACATATGATTTGAATGAAATTTAGTATCTCTTTCTTAGGTGACCCTGTTAAAAGTATGGGGGAAAATATGATTTTACTACATTGATGCATTCCATAGGTTAGTCTAAATCTTTTTACAGGGTATCTCTTGATATACAGAGATCCAACTCTCAGTATTCTCACGGATTACTTGATATAGGAAGGGATTTCCTAAAGCCAGTTCCAGTTCTATAAATAGGGTTTTTATGAATGAATCATTTTTATAAGACATTGCCTTTTCCTTGTCAACCCTGAATTGTGAAATTGGCTGATCAAATGTGTGTATGTGTATGGGGATGGGTGGGGGGTGGGGGCGTGGCACAGAAGCTAGCTGCCACACTGTGGTGCTGGACGGATGTGAGCTGGAGCCCTTCCTGCTGTCCTGGCTGGTGTCTGGTGGAGCAGCTGCCATACCCAGGTCTTCTTCTAGGGACATTGCTCTAACTATGTCCCCCTGGTGGCTGCCTAATGGCTACAGCTGTTACATATACCATGGGAAATCTGGCAGGGAGACACCATGTCTCTCACTCCTTAGCTTCTTACTCAATGCTGTTCTGTAAAGCAGCCAACCTGGAGGGATGCAACCATAAAGGAAGGAAGAATGCCGCAGCTCTGAGCATTGCTGTATGGCCTCACTTCTGTAAGCACCTAGGAAACCTGTGGAGAGCCATCTAGCTGAGTTGGATTGGGTGATGAGAGGCCTTGATCTTGTGCTTCCTCGTGGCATTGGAGTAGCCATCAAAGCTGTGTGTTCCATCAAAGACCCTTTTCAAACCAAGACAACATCATGTCATTTTCAAAAGCCGTTTAACTTAAACATGCTAGATTGCATCATCTTATGATATCAGGCCATCTCTAGGCACTGCTGTGTTTTTGGCAGCCGGTTTTAGACTAGGAGAGAGATAACTGTCTTGTTTGCTTTTTTTTGGGGGGGGGGTCCGGTCGCGGGGCCTGAACTCTGGGCCTGGGCGCTGTCCCTCAGCTCTTCAGCTCAAGGCTAGTGTTCTACCACTTGAGCCACAGCGCCACCTCCGACTTTTTTCTTTTAGCTTATGTGGTGCTGAGGAATCGAACCCAGGGCCTCAGGCATGCAAGGCAAGCACTCTACCACTGAGCCACCTTCCCAGCCCCTCTTGTTGTTTACTTTTTAGTCAATAATCCTAATTTAGTTTCAGCTAGGACTTTATTTGTGTGTTTTATTCCTGGAAGAGTTTATTTGTGTACTCTGAAGATACTCTAAATTATTATTGACTTACATGTATTTGGAAGTGTTTGTGTCAGTTCTATTCAAGTTTGATTTATATTGATTATTTCATGTAGCATCACTCATACATTGATTAACTGATGAATGTTCTAATACCTATTTGACTATTTCTGAAAATTATGAAGGATACTATGCTAATGGGATGCTAAATCTTCATTTTTATGGGTGTTGATTTCTAGTTTTTGAAATGCTAAAAAATGTGGAGGAGGTAAGATGGGGAAAAGGCAGAGTAATAAAAAGAATGAATCTGATCAATGTATAAATACAGATAAAGTGTCAAGTTTCTGAAATCTTGTAATATTGAAGCAAGGCCACATTTTTAATGTCCTTTATATTCAGATAACTTCTCACCAATTGTGTCAGGAGGATTTGTCACCAAGGACATAGTTAACTGGCTGTGACTACAAGGCACTGTACTTAATGCTGACAGACAGATGACCAAGGGGCTCAGGGCCTAAAAGGGTCCCCGATAGGGCAGAATAGTCAGTTAGATTTACCCCCATTTTCCTGAGCCAATTTTGATTAAAAAAAAACTGCCGTAGGTGAAAAATATAGCAGATTCTAAATTTGTGGCTCATGCTGCTTTTTTAATCCTAGAGTTATGAGGCTGACTCACACACAGAAACGGGATCTGACAAAGGCCACAAAAGGGCTGGAAGGGAAATCGGTATGCAATGAACGCCTTTCTACATCACTACGTCAAGCTCAGAGCTGTAGTTTCACACAGCTCTGGTGCTGGGTGAGACTCCGGTATAATCACATTATGCGAACTCTCTCCTAAGTTGATTTGAACAGAATTTGACCTGCATTACATATGAACAAACAAGATAGCCTGCTGAGTCAACTTTTTAATTATTCACGATGGCATGTATGTAGAATAATACTGTTTTAGGTTTCAGAGGGTCTACTTGGAGATATGTGGTTTTGTTCTGTTTTTCCCAGTATTACCTTCTTGGACCTTTGTGGTATGAAAAAGACATGAAATTGTGCAAGCCTGGTTCAAGCTGCTTGTACATTCTCGTTATTTTGATGAATTAATGAATTAATTTTCATACGCTTGGCTTGATTGTTTGACTAGTGTGCCACCACTTGTGTCACTTTTGTTTTGTGTGTGCCATTCTGGAGCTTGCTCTCAGGTTCTAGGTGCTTTCCTTGAGCTTCTGTGCTCAAGGCTAGCACACTACCATTTGAGCCCCTTGGTACTTAATTGGAGATAAGAGCTTGGACTTTCTTGCCTGGCTGGCTTCAAACTGTGATCATCAGGCCAGGCGCTGGTGGCTCATACCTGTAATCCTACCAACTCAGGAGGCTGAGATCTGAGGATCACTGTTCAAAGCCAGCCTAGGCAGGAAAGTCCATGAGACTCTTATCTCCAATTAACCACCAGAAAACCAGAAGTGGGGCTGTGGCTCAAGTGGTACAGCACTTGCTTTGAGCTGAAGAGCTGAGGGACAGCACCCAGGCCCAGAGTTCAAGCCCTATAACCAACAAAACAAACTGTGATCATCAGATTTCAGCCTCCTGAGTAGCTGGGAATACAGGTGTGAGCCATCAGTGCCTGGCTGAGTGAGGTATCTTGCCCTACATTGTACTGGTAATTTTGGAGACAGAATCTCATAGACTCTTCTTCTGCCCAGCCTGGGTTCAAACCATGATCCTCCAGATCTCAGCCTCCTGAGTCGAGGATTACAGACATAAGCCACTAATGCCCAGTTTATGCTAGTTATTAATCCCATGAATATTCATCCCAAATGAATAGCTGCCAGTTTTTTTTGTAGGCTTTCTCTTCATTCTAGTGCCTGTTTGGTTGGCAAAACTTTTTAGTTTGATACAGTCTCATATTTCAGATCTTGTTTTTATTTGCTGAATTATTAATTATTGAGGAATTGCTGAATTCCTGAAGTTTTCCTGTAGTAGTTTCAAAGTTCTAGGTTTTACTTTAAGGCCTTTGACCCACTTTGAAATGTTCTCATTACAGGATGGAGACAGTAATCTAATCTCAGTATTCACATGTGGATATCCAGTTTTTCCAGAACCATTTGCTCAAGAAACTCTTTTTCTGCAACCTTTGCTTTTGGCACCTTTGTCAAAAGTCATCTGACTATAACTGTGTGGGCTTATGTTTGGGTCTTCTCTTCTTTTCCATTCATCTGTATGTCTATTCTTGTGCTACTGCCATGCTGTTTTTGTCCCTATGGCTGTATAGTATAGTTTGAAGTCAAGTATTGTACTTTTCACCGTCTCTTGTTTTGCTCAGGATTGCTTCTGCTATTTGAGGTCTTTTGTGTTTCTTGTAGGACTGAACTTTAGGACTGATTATTTTCTACTTTAAAGGATACTATTGGCATTTTTGTCTTCAGATTGTTTTCCATAGTGGAGCCACTTTTACAGTGTCAATTCTGCAAATCTGTGAACATGGGCTGTATGTCTTCTGGTGTGTTCTTCTGTTTCTTTCTTCAAGGTTTTGTAATTTTTATTGTAGAAGTCTTCCACCAATCTTAGTTAAACACATTCCTACTTGTCTTATCTTACTAGAGGCTAGGGATGGGCATTGTAGTTGTATTTATAAACTGTGAGTTTCTGGCACCTTTGCATATGCTGCCATGATTGCTTGCTTTTTTTTTTTTTTAAAGGTCTATGCTTTTTTCTACTACTTTCCACATTTGTTTTATTCCATCTAACACAAATTCAAATGCTATGTGTAAGTTCATATTGTATTAGAATCTTGGAGGTTAACTATTCCCTGTAGGCTGTGAGATTCCTAATACTTGCCTTGTTCTTCTCTGGCAGCTGTGCGATACTGTGGGAGCAGATATAGGGTTTCTGGTTCCAGGAGAGGCTTGCTACTGATCTTCATCGAGTACTAATGCCCAACCTCAATGTCCTCATTCCTGACTCAGAAGTTCTGATTTTTATCTAATGTGATCCTCATGAGGATTAAATAAGATTGTAAAGGGGCAGGCTCGGATCCCAGCATACACTGGTTACTCCAGTGGAGAAATGCAATGAATACACAGATTATTATGGAGGAAAACCTCTTACAAATTTCAATAACATCTTGCCCAGTTAACGCCTTTATTCATTTAGTAGAATGAGTAAAGATGTCTATATTTAATTAAAATGTAGTAACTGCTGCTAAGATAGTTTTACTTGTTTTAAAGGTTTTTTTTTCTGTATTTAAAAATGTTTGTTTTTAATGTTGTTTTCAAATCTACACTAATGTAAAGATAGCTTATACTAACTGTGTTGTATCTTATTCAGTGGGTACAGATCATGCCTGAGTGGAATATATATTTTTAAATGGGTGAGATAAAAGTATATATGCGGGACAAATACATATTTTCACTTGTTTTATGTTTGATGTAATAGTTGAACTGGCCGTAGATTTTATGAAAATCTTTTCTGTCATTAAAAATGTTACCTGTGGGGGCTGGGAAGGTGGCTCAGTGGTAGAGCACTTGCCTTGCATGCCTGAGACCCTGGGTTCAATTCCTCAGCACCACATAAGCAAAAAGAAAAAAGCCAGAAGTGGTGCTGTGGCTCAAGTGGTAGAGTGCTAGCCTTGAGCTGAAGAGCTGAGGGACAGTGCCCAGGCCCAGAGTTGAGGCCCCACGACCGGACCCAAAAAAAAAAAATGTTACCTGTGCCACACACAGAATTTTCTAAATTTGAATTATTAGAGCATATTGTTTACTTAAAGCCTGGCTTTTTTATATAAGCTTATAAAGATTTGAATAATGAAATAACTCAAATAAACTTACTTTAGTGGAAATCTTTGTTCAGACATCCTTTTCTTACCTTTTTGTGCCTTCATTTTTCTAGGAGCTGACGAGTGCTTTGGTGCATTTAAAACTACATCTCTTTATTCAGATCTTTACGCTTGCATTCTTCCCAGCAACGATATGGCTCTTTCTTCAGATTTTATCAATCACAACCATCAATGAATGGCTGTTAAAAGGGTATGTTTGAATCTTTTAACTGGACATTTTTAGTGACACTGTTTCTATGGCAACTATATGCCAAAGGACTTTTGTCTATGCCATCTTACAGGGAAAGAAAAATACTTAACCTTATGCTTTAAGACAACAGTGTCTGCAAGAACACAAAAATATTGATACAGAATCTCAGTACACATCCCCATGCTTAATCTTAAGGTACTAGGATACACTCTTTTCTGGGAAATTTCGAGTAGTCTTGGGAGAAAATTAGAAGAAACTTGAAAATGGAAGGCCTATATCCATGGCAATGTAGATTAACTTGATTGCCTTACCTTTGCCAAATGCATCTGTGTACTGATAATGTCTGAGTAGAATATACATACATATATATATATATGTATACACACACACATACATATTTAAGTGGGTAAGAAAATTATATGTGTGGGATGAGTGTTTATATTTTCACTTGTTTTACATTTTATCTACTAGTTGAATTGATAGGAGAGTTTATTTTCCATCATTAAAAACGTTACCATATACCAGACATGGTGGCACTCACTTGTAATCCCATTACTTTGAGAGCCAAGCGAGGTGGAACACATTTGGAAGTGAGCCTGGCACTCAGGAGGCTGAGGCAGGGAGAGTCTGAGCTTGAGGTCCACTTGGGCTGCATGGTGAGACTTCATCTCAAAACCAAACAAAATCTGAAGAAGGGAATGGAAGGAAGAAGGAAGGGAGGTAGAGAAGGAAGGAGAGTTCAGGGAAGGGGATGAGAGGAGGAAGGCAAAGAAAAGAAGCAAGAAGGAGGAAGAAAAAAGGAAGGAGGGAGAGGAAAGAAAGAAGGACGGAAAGAAGGAAGGTAGGAAGATCAAGATGATAGCATTGTACTAGCATTTTATGAGAAGTACAGCACTTGCGATGTCTATATACTAAATAAAGCAAGCATGTAGTTCTCATCTTGGGAGGTTATGCCTAAAGGCATATACATGCCTCTTGCCTCATTTAGAGAGAGCTCTTTCCTGCTTGCTTTGTTTTCCCCACCCCCTCCACAGTCTCAGAGTACACACCACAAAGTTAACTTGAGGGAGTTGCAAATGCTTCTCTCAGGATCGTGTTGAAATAAAAGTATTCCGAGCACAAGTTCCCCTGCCCCCACATTGCTGTAGACAGCATGGAGGTGAGCTCATTCAGCACACTTGTGACTGTCTAGACATGAGTAAAAACCGTCTGCTAAGGGAGGGCAGAGGAAAGAACGTGAAGGGTGAATTTATGAAGATCAAGTGGAGACATCTAGAACTCTAAAGTCTCATACTGGATTATTAGGTAAAACTTAGTTCCTCTGATCTGAAAGAGAGAAATTCATTCTTTTGAATGGCATAGGGATTATCAATAAAAACAATGTAATACCTACTTCAGATTTTCTAAGAAAGAGGTTAAATATTCTCACACACACAGAGAACTGAAAGAGGTGACAGATATGTTATTTAGCTTGATTATAGCAATCATTTCACAGTGTAAACACTTATTAAAACACCATTTGGAGCCAGGTGTGGTGGGGCATGCCTATAATCTCAGCCGTTGGGAAGCCGAGGTTGGAGAAATGGTGAATTCCAGGCCAGCGTGAATTAAATAGCATGTTCAAGGTGAGGCCCTCCACGCTTCAAACCAAACCAAACCTAAACGTACTTACTTTTTGTCAGTTATACCTCAATAAAACTTTAAAAAATATATAAATTGAGCAGAAGATATGTTTAGTTTGAGAGGGTAGCCTATAAACTTGTGGATAATAGGACTAGAATGGAAATTTGGAAGTATTCCTACAGATTAAAATATTTTAAGATTGCAAAGAATGCCACAAAGATAACAGAAAAACAGAATAGGCTGGTTTAAAAGATAAGAGATAAACAACCAGCTGAAATGTGGAAGAAAGCGAAGAAAGAAATGAGAAAGGAGAATATAAGTCCAAATGAATATGGAAGACAGGAGATTGGCTGGCCTTGAATTAGCCATCCTAATTTATGCTTGTGCTTAAAGTGGCCACGGACCACCTTTATGATCACTGTTTTTTATATCGGTAGTAGGGGCAGAAATCTAATTCCAGAAGAGTGTGCTGTGTGCCACAGAGGTAGCACGCTCCTTAAAGAAAGTCAACCATGAAATGTAAGGAAGAGTGTGGGAGAGGATCTTAAAGCAACAGTACCAGTGTTGCTGTTATCTTAATTTGTGTATTGCATCTCCAAAGGCAAGAGTAAGGGTTGTCTTAGGCTTTTCCCTATTCCCTTAGAGAGTCTCTTAGGGAGAGAGTCTCCTTAGGGAGAAAGGACATGCCTATGGAGCTTATGGAGCTTTTTAGAAAGATGGGGAGAATTATTATTCTTGCTACTTGAAAGGAAAGGGCTGAGAGGGAGGAAAAGATTCAACAAGTTGAAAGGTTTGAAGGAACCTGAGGGGGACCTGTCTCTAGATTTGGTGGCAGGGGACACAGAAGGCAGAGAGGCCCCAGGAGGCTGTGTGCTAAGTAAATCCTTGATCTTGGATGCCAGAATAAAAGTTAATGGACAAGTGAACTGACCTTCTCTCTTAACTTCAGTTTTTCATTACCATGAGAATGACAGTCATACCTATTTCACCAACTTGTAAGGAACACGTGAGATGTTGTGTAAGGTGAACTACAAATGGTTGGTGCTCACCATTAGTTGGTGAGGATCCTGGCAGCCCCAAAGGAAGGTCAGAGATGGCTATTACACAGACTCCTTTAGCCTCATTTAGGGAAATAGACCACTGCAGAAGCCTCAGCTGGGTATACTTGGGTCCTGGTAGTCCCAGCTCTTCCAAAGACTGAGGCAGGAGAATCACTTGAGCCTGAAAGTCCAAGGCCATCCTGTGCAGAGTAGCGAGATAGAGTCTGGAACAACAACTCCCACCATACGAATACCAATATACTGAACTGAGCGAGGCGGAAATTGAATAAAGTGTTTTTTTTTTTGTTTGAATCAAGATGGATGAAAACCTTTCTTCCCTAAGCTTAGACAAGAACTTAGAATGAAACCTCTCTGTAACCATTCAGAATTTCAGTCTTAACGCTGTACGCTTGGTACTCAGGCTAGTTACTTGATCGCTCTCTGCGAGTTCTGAATAATGTGCTTTTAATTTCAGAACTTAGATGACCATTCTTTGCTTTATTTGTTTGACATACGGTTTATTTTCTACCCTAAATTAATGATCTTGGGAATATAAAGTTAATAATGTAATAAAAACTTAGAATGGCTGCCGGAATTCACCAGTGTCTGAGCCTGAGAAGTGTATGATTATGTCATGCTTATTTCTACAATAAGGTTATACTTTGATATGAAAGTTTGATAATTGCTGTTTCATAGAAAGAAATGAAAATACAAGTTTATGTTTTGTTAAGTATTTTTGAACTGTGGATGCAGTTTATAGTTTTTTTTTCTTTTTTCTTTTTTTTGCCAGTCTTGGGACTTAAACTCATGGCCTGGATGCTGTCCTTGAACTTTTTATTTGCTTAAGGCTAGCACTTGAGCAATATCTCCACCTTTGTCTTTTTGGTGCTTAATCAGAGATAATAGTCTCATAGACTTTCCTGTCCAGGTTGACTTCGAACCACAGTCCACAGAGCTCAGTAATTAGGATTACAGGTGTGTGCTCCCAACACCTACTTTACTTTTATCAAAAGACTTTCTTTCACAATTATAAGGAAGTAAGGAAAGTTTCTCTGTTTATGTATTTAGGTGTTACTAGGTAGCACAGCCTTCCTAAACGGATACGTCTCTTACCTTCATCTTCCAAGTACCTTGGGCTACAGGCATGTCCTACTATCTCCTTGTCTTTTGCTTATGAGGAAGATTTTTATTTTACTTGAAAGTAACCTAAGACTATATATACTTAACTTACTAAAGACTGTACACCCTAGAACTTGTCTTTCTTTTCTTTTTTAAACTCGGGGTCTTATGCTTATTGGACTGGTGTTTCTACCACTAGCTGTATCTCCAGTCCTGGCTTTCTCTTGTTGTTGTTACTGTTTTTTGAATTGTATCATTAGAGCATCAGAATATTCAGAGATATAGCCACCCACCTCTATGGACTCTAATGAGAGCTCAGATCCTGTACCCTTGCCATATAATTCTATGCCATGTTGCTTCACACAAAATTGTCTAGACTCAGTGGAAACTACATCAACAAACATTCTCCTACCTCAACCCCGCTATTTTAGAATGAATGTAGTGAGACCTATGTATAATGGGGGGAAAGCACTATTTACAATTGGATTTTCTTTTATTTTTCAGTTTGCAGACAGTAGGTTGCATGCCTCCCCCAGTGTCTTCTGCAGTGATTTTAACCAAGGCGGTTGGTGGAAATGAGGTGAGTCATGGGGCTAACCTGCTTTAAATGTAAAGTACACTCTGGGTTTTTATTTTGCTCAGAACTACATTTTGAACCTAAAGGAGTTGGGCTGTGGAAAACCATAATCCCAGCAGCTTACTAAAGAACTCACTGCATTTCTATACAAGATTGCTCATGAATTAGGATGATGATGAGTGGAATTTAGATTTTCAAAGAGAAAAGCAAGAGAAATAAATGAAGTATGTTGTTGATTCTCTCTCTCTCTCTCTCTCTTTCTCTTTCTCTCTCTCTGGATACTCGTACTAGAGCTTGAACTCAGGCCTGTGCACTATCCCCTGGCTTTTTTTGCTCAAGGCTGATGCTCTACCACGTCATTTCCAGCTTTTTGCTGGTTAATGGGAGGTAAGAGTCTCATGGTTTTTCTTGCCTGGGCAGTGATCCTCAAATCTTAGCCTCCTGAGTAGCTAAGACTACAGGTGTGAGCCGCCAGTGCCCACTGAGATGTGATTTTTCTGCCTCTGGAAATTGGGAGACAAAAGAACAGCAAAGTCCAAGGAAAGAGTTTTTTTTTTTTTTTTTTTTACACAAGACCCATAGATACCTTCTCCATTTCTCAATTCTTCTTTTTTTTTTTTGGGTCCAGTCGTGGGGTCTGAACTCTGGGCCTGGGCACTGTCCCTCAGCTCTTTAGCTCAAGGCTAGCGCTCTACCACTTGAGCCACAGCGCCACTTCCGGCTTTTTTCATTTTGCTTATGTGGTGCTGAGGAATCGAACCCAGGGCCTCATGCATGCAAGGCAAGCGCTCTACCACTGAGCCACCTTCCCAGCCCCTCCATTTCTCAATTCTTAAAGCAATTATAATAAAGTAAATTGGGAGGAAAAGGTACATTTTTGTTGAATGGCATGAGACAATAGCCTTAAAAAACAGAATTTAGGCCAGGTGCCTTAGATGGATTCAAAGAAATTACCCAGTAAAATAATTGCCAATAAAAAGAATTGATTTTTGAAATATTCTGTCATGAAATGAAGAGTGATTGCATCCATTTTAATTGTAACTTGCACTTTTGCAAGAAATACTCTTTGCAAGTTCAAGCTAAAAAGTGCTTTGTGGGCAGGCGCTGGTGGCTCAGGAGGCTGAGATCTGAAGATCACAGTTGTGTTTGCAGCCAGTCTGGGCAGAAAAATGTCCAAGAATCATTATCTCCAATTTACTAGGAAAAACACCAGAACCCAGTACCCTCTTCCACAGACACGATTTCTTTTTTTTATAACTTATTTTTGTTTCCATGAACCAGCTAGAATTACTAATAAGTGTTAGTAGCAGAGAGAACTCAGTGTATGCGGATACCATTTATATATAAAAATATGCCAGTATGTCCTTTAGACATTTAAAGTAGATTAAATTAAATTATACTGTAAAACTGAGAGGCCTATTTTGTGGCATTTACATTTTAAGCAATCTTTATTTAAATACTGGAAGCATGGTTAAGCTCTCATTTTTTGGTAGTTATTATTCCAGTACTTTCAATGAAAAAAATTAAAACTACATAATTATGAGTATGCTGTTGACACAGTCCAACTGATAGGGATGGTCTGTGTGTGTGTGTGTGTGTGTGTGTGTGTGTGTGTGTGTGTGTGTTGTGTATGTGTGTGGTTCCTTTTTTTAAATAATAAAAATATAATAAAGATGGAGAATTAATTTCAGTGCCAAACATAAGTAGATAGAAGTGTTATATATTGTATGTATCTGTATTTTAACTTGGGAAACGTAGGTTAAATACTTATTTATTCATTGTTTGAAATCATGTATGTTTATTTCATTTAGATATCTTCTACAAATATAAAGTTCTGTGATGAAAAAATTATTTTCCCCCCTCAAAAGACTTGCCAAGATTTTAAACCTATGAAAACCTGCTAAGAAAACCATTCCTTTTAAATCTAAGCTACTTATGCCATACAGTAACTACCCTAGGGATTTCTTTAATAAAATAAATTTCTTCTATTGAGAAACTGGGAAATTATTCCTCTATGTTTGGAGAGAGAGAGAGAGTTATGTGTTTTCATATTCTTGTGATTTATTTCTGTCTCAAGCTAGCGTTCAGTGGAAAAGGAGGAATAATGCGGTGTGGGAAAAGATACACTGTCTCCTTTTACCTTAATCTTTCTTCCTTTTGCAACCTGGAAAAGAGAATCCTTCAGCTAAAAGCCATTCTCTAAAAATATGAAGTGAGCAAAATGTCTTAACTCTTGATAAAGTAGCAAAACTATATGCCTTTGTCCAATTAGCACCTACGACCAAAACAAATAGGAGAGGAATAAAGATAAAAATTGCTGACTTCATATTTCTGAAGCAAAACAGAGAAGCAGTAAGGATCTTAATAGATAAAAGCAAGAGCAGGTCAGGTAAGTCAAAGCTGGGTGTGATAGTTACGCTAAACTCTGTTGTCTGTGGTTAAGGCAAAGCCTGGTGAGTGGCACCTTTAGCATAATGTCAGTGTACAGATTATAATTATGTTGTATAGGTTTTCTTGGTTGTACATTTTTTTCCTCCTTTTCAAAATCTATTCCATGGATTACCTGCATGAGCATTACCCGATACTGAGGGAAAAAAAATTAAGTCCTTTATACAGATGTAAACGAATACTGAATGAGAATGTCTGCTGGGTGAGACTTGAGATTCTCTTTGTTTTTATAAGTTATGAAATCCAGTATATCTACAAGTGCTAGCTATGTTAGACATGTATGCACATTGAAAATTGTACACCTCTGTGCTTAGCGTCTGAATGTAAAACTAGAACATGCTATGTAACCAGTTAACAACCACTTAAGGCATTGTTCTCTGCCATAGTGAATAGACAATAAGATCTTGTATGGAGGAGAGAGGTCATCTTTTCCTCACCAAATGGCTGTTACCCCTAATGACAGAAAATAGATGAACAAAGCTTCCCATGGCATAGGAAACTTCACAAATGAAGACTTGAAAGATCCTGAAAAAGTATACTTATTCTCTAAATCTACAGCAAGAAGTATATAGTTATAGTTATGGAGAAATGTGATGTGACAAAAAGGAATCTGACCCAATGCTATAAACTGGTGGGGCTGAGGGAAGGGTAAAAGGGGACAATGGATTTAGCAATGACTACTTGTTCAGATTATTTCTGTCTCTGTGAGACATTTCTCCTCCTTTACCCCCAGATGTGCAATGCCACACATAGCTCACAAGAGGCTCTAACAAGGGAAAAGATTAGGGAGTGGCCTTTTTAATTTATGACCTTCTCAGAGGGCCAAAGGAATGGTGTCAGAAGGATAGAAACTTGGCTTCTGAGATGCTCGTGTCTCCTTCAGTTCCAAAATATTGAGCTGCTAAGATGCCCGTATTGTTTTCTAAGTACTGGCAATTTGTGCTGGAGATTGCTTCTTTCAAAAATTTACTTTTAGTGTGATATTACACTAGTCAGAGACTCTATTTTATGTTAGAAAAAATCATTTTAGATTGATTTGAATTCTTAAATTAGTATTTTCCTATTTTAATGTAGAAAAAAAGAAAACAGGGCTGGGAAGGTGGCTCAGTGGTAGAGCGCTTGCCTTGCAGGCCAGAGGCCCTGGGTTCGATTCCTCAGCACCACATAAGCAAAAAGAAAAAAGCCGGAAATGGTGCTGTGGCTCAAAGTGGTAGAGCGCTAGCCTTGAGATGAAGAGCTGAGGGACAGCACCCAGGCCCAGAGTTCAGGCCCCACAACCGGACCCCCCCAAAAAAATGAAAGAAAGAAAACAGTTCATGTGGATTGAGTTCCACCCAGTTAGGATTTGGATTGTTTGCTATTCAGAGGCAGTTAGGTTGTTGTCTTGCCTACTATTGGTTTAAGACGCTGTGCTGCTTTTGATAGAAATATAAACAAGGCTGGCATTTTAATTATATTCTATTCATCAGGTTGAAGGACTTCAGAACCCTTTTATACATCCAAATAGATTTTAAACAAACAGTTGATTCTCGGTATAGAAGAAATGTAACAAGTAATGGTGTGTGTGTGTGTGTGTGTGTGTGTGTGTGTTTAGTGTCATCAGCAGGGTTGGTGCCCATATCTCTTCAAAGAAAATTTAAGAATCTCCTGTGTGTGTGTGTGTGTGTGTGTGTGTGTGTGTGTGTTTAGTGTCATCAGCAGGGTTGGTGCCCATATCTCTTCAAAGAAAATTTAAGAATCTCCTGAGCACAGAAAGTTTTTACACTGGTGAACTCTTTAAGTCATAGATGAAGGTCATGGCATCTGAGTGTATTTTAAAAAGATTTTCGATCTGCTTGGAAAGCAAATGAAGCACTCATTACTAACTTTAAGGGTACAGCAATGAGGTTTTTTTTTTCTTTTTTGCTAGAGGTGAAAGATCAGATCTTCACAGTCCAAATGGAGAGGAGAGGTTCAATTTCTGACTTATCAGAGAGGCAAGAACCATTTCAAAGTTATTTTGCATTATCAGTGGGGAGTTGGTCTCGCTAATCCAGTGCATGAAGATAAGATTCATTGAAACATTTATAAAGCTAGCTTGAGTCAATCTCATCAGCAGAGAGAGGGGACATGGAACAAAAAGAAAGCCCATCTGTCAGTTAAGTGTCTCTTCTTCGGCAATCACTTAGTCTTTCTGTTTCTGGCTTTCTCTTCTGTTAAATGGGTAACTGATTTTTCTGGTGGTGGAAGGTTAACAGCATCTGGAAGAGTCCTGTGGAAAGGTTGTCAGTGGTACCTTCTTGCACACTAGTAGCAGTGTATTTTTCAATCTGCTGTCTGAGAAATGGCAGTTTTCCTTCTTTGGCAGATGAAAGGGCAGGAGTAGCAGCAGCAGGAAATTCTGTGCCCTGCTCCTCTCCCGTGACCTCGAACTTTACCCTCATCTTCTGGGCTGAATTGGGTTTTTAGGAGCGCTGGAAAAAATGGATTGCATTAGTCTTAAGTAGAACTTGTTGACACATCCTTGCAATTCAGGATTCTCCCCTGTGACTCTAATGCCTTTCAGCATGTCATCA